CTGGTCCTAAACTGGTCATTATCTGGTCATTATCTGGTCCTGATCTGTTCCTGACCTGGTCCATACCAGGCAGAACCAAACGGAAAAGGTCAACATTAAAGGAAGGAATCCAAACATTCTGGATCATCAAACCCAAAAACCAGAAACCAGGATTATTAGGTTATTAGGATATGACCCTAACAAGTCGGGATATGACCCTGACAGGTCGGAATATGACCCTAACAAGTCGGGATACGACCCTAAGAAGTCGGGATATAACCCTAACAGGTCGGGATATGACCCTAACTAGTCGGGATATGACCCTAACCAGTCGGGATATGACCCTAACAGATTGGGATATGACCCCAACAAGTCGGGATATGACACCTAACAAGTCGGGTTATGACCCTAACAGGTCGGGATATAACCCTAACAAGTCGGGATATGACCCTAACAGGTCGGAATATGACCCTAACAGGTCGGGTTATGACCCTAACAAGTTGGAATATAACCCTAACAAATCGGAATATGACCCTAAAAAGTCAGGATACGACCCCAACAACTCACGATATGACCCTAACAAGTAAGGATATGACCGTAAAAGGTGTGATATGACCCTAATAACTCAGGATATAACCCTAATAACTCGGGATACGACCCTAACAACTCAGTACCTGACCCTAACAGGTCAGGACATGACCCTAAAAAGCCGGAATATGACCCTAACAACTCAGTACCTGACCATAAAAAGTCAGGTTATGACCCTAACGGGTCGGGATATGACCCCAACATGTCGGGATATGACCCTAACAAGTTGGGATATAACCCTAACAAGTCTGGATCTGTATTAAAAATCACTTTTAAAGTTAGAACAGCATGTCAACCTGTCAGACGGTCTGCATTATTGTTGTCAGGAAAACCGTCTGACCGTCTGTCTGACTCTAACCACATCCTTATGCTTTTTAGGTATATGAGAAAATGTCACATCCCCTCAGAAACAGGAAACACGTGGCTGCAGGTTTCAGCTCTGCACGCATGTAGAAAAGAATAGTTACAGTCATTTTTTCTTTGTATTCTGTCCTTGAAGCGGATCGTCTTTAAAGGAATTTGTTTTTTCTTTTTTAAGCTGCTTATCTTTGAGTCGTCCAGGCCTCAGAGCACAGACTCTTCAGAGGAGGTGAACCCGGTCGGGACCTGAATGGATTCCCTTCACCGGTTTGAGTGTTTGAAATTTAGGCTTCAGAATGACGACATCTTTACCATATCATACCATACCAGCTTTATTTATAAAGCACTTTAAAACAACCACAGTTGATACAAAGTGCTGTACAATCCAAAAAACACAACAAAATAAAAATTATTTAAAAAATTATTTAAACAAAAAGGAATGTGAAGCATCCAGGAAGGAGGAGAAGAGCCAGTCCAACTGGTCCTACAGAGCTAGTTCACATATTCCCTCCCCCCCTCCACGTTTGTAGTTGTCCAGAACTTTAAACAAAAAGTTCTCAATGATCGGATGGTTCTGAGACTGAGGAGCAGCTTATAGGCTCACGTGGTCAGTCTGTGGTTGGTTCAGCACGCTTTACAGACTTCTCTTTTCATTTAGAAGTCATGTAGCAAAACCAAAAAAAACCCAAAGCGCCACGATTTAAATACCTGGTTCCCTTTGTTGAAGAACATTATATATATATATATATTTCTGCATTTTAATGGTTAAAACGACAAAAAAATTCAAACTAAACCCTCGCCCTCTGTAGTCTTAAAACTAGATAATTTCCCCCATTACACCTCCAGCTGAATTTATTCTAGATTCAGGGGTCCAGATAATGTTTTGAACGGTTTAGAAGCATCGTTGGTGAATATTAGAGCAACATTTGATAGGTGAGTTTGTCCGATTTGAGCATGGAAAGTGAACTAGAGTCCAGAGTGAACATGAGGAATGGATTTTAGGAGCTATGCTGCCATCTGCTGTCCAACTGAGGCTGAGCTTCCTCAGTGAGAACTTCCTTGTTCTAAGTCAAACTTGTGCAAAATTATAGTTTAAATTATTTTAGAGAATAAATTGTATTTCCTGTAATTGTAATGCTTCAAAATCAGATTTATCTTATTGTTAATAGTCATGTTTAATTCATTTTACAGGTCACTAAATTAACGTTAAAGAAGAGTTTAACTACTGAAAACCTGTCATTTATTTATCATTAGAGTTTAAAATGGACTGAGATGTGTCTATAAAGGTCTGAGAGTAGAAATACTCCTGAAAATGGAAATGAGGTTTTGTTAATACAAATTAATCAGCAAAATTGAAAAAAGGCATCCCAACAACCCAAAAACAAAGACTTTGCAGATACTGTGGACAATCGAATACTTTGATCCAGCTTCCCTAGAGGTGTGATGAGGGACTCTCACCTGTAGGGGACGTCTTTATGACCACTAATTTAACTTACTAAGGTATTAAGCATGTCAACTTGTTTTTCACCAGTGTTTAACTGACAGCTGCCCGGTGAAAGTCATGCAACATAACTCAAGTTTACCCTCACGTGTAAGCTGCTAGTTGGTTAGGGTCATATCCCGATATTTTAGGGTCGTATCCCGACCTGTTAGGGTCGTATTCCGAACTGTTAGGGTCACATGCTGACCTGTTAGGGTCCCATCCCAATCTGTTAGGGTCATAACCCGACTGATCCAAGAAAAAATTTAGATTTCTTTTGTTTGAAGTCTTTTTTATTAAATAACTGCTGCTGTTATCAGGTATATCTGACACATACGGAGTCGTAGGCTTAAGTTAACCATGAGGATATCCTTAGGGTTATCAGGTTGATGACAGATACCTCTCTGTCACGAGGGTGGGTCTTGGAGGGAGGACTCAGTCGCGGAGATATGGAAAAAGGTTTATTTGAACAAAAACGCACTCAAAAGAGTGGATGACAGGACAAGGTTCCAGAACAAGGCTGTGGCATAAACTATGATCAAAGTATCAAAGAAAGAGTAAACAAGGCTATGGCAAGATTAACAAAACTGTGGGAAAACATGGCGATGACAAAAATGTGGCTATGGTACAAAACAAAACTATGGCAGTAAAGTAAACAAGGCTGTGACAAAATCAAACCTGGGGTGGGGTGACGAAAACACACTGGCACAGGACATGGGAAACGAGGACTATTTAAACACATGAGGGAGGGGAACCCCAGGTGAACACAATAGGTAATCAAGACGAGACGAGACACCAGACATTCCCCCAAACATGAGACTCTCTTTCTCTTTAGGTACCTGAAGATAGTCCGTCCTTTACGATCTCACGTCCTGCAGCGGGTGAAACCGGCCCGCATCATTTCTGCGGCGACCTGGTGCTCCCTTCTGTCGGTGATCCTGTCCACTTAGGGTCACATCCCAACCTGTTAGGGTCACATCCCAACTTGTTAGGGTCACATCTCGACTTGTTAGGGTCGTATCACAACTTGTTAGGGTCGTATCCCGACTTGTTTGGGTCAAATCCCGTCCAGTTAGGGTCATATCCCAACTTGTTTGGGTCATATCCAGTCCAGTTAGGGTCACATCCCAATCTGTTAGGGTCATATCCCGACTTGTTAGGGTCATATCCTGTCCAGTTAGGGTCCCATCCGAAAAAATTTAGATTTCTTTTGTTTGAAGTCTTTTTTTTAAATAACTGCTGTTGTTATCAGGTATATCTGACACATACGGTGTTGTAGCCTTAAGCTAACCATCAGGTTGGTGACGGATACCTCTATTTCTCCGCAGGTACCTGAAGATAGTCCGTCCCTTACGATCTCACATCCTGCACCTGGTGCACCACCTGTCGGTGATCCTGTCCACTTAGGGTCACATCCCAACCTATTAGGGTCATATCCCAACTTGTTAGGGTCACATCTCGACTTGTTAGGGTCGTATCCCGACTTGTTAGGGTCACATCCCAACCTGTTAGGGTCATATCCCGACTTGTTAGGGTCGTATCCCAACTTGTTAGGGTCATAACTTGAACTGTTAAGGTCACATCCTGTCCAGTTAGGGTCACATTCCAGTCTGTTAGGGTCATATCACACCTTTTAGGGTCACATCCCGACTGGTTAGGGTCACATCCCTCTCTCTTTCTCTGCAGGTACTTGAAGATAGTCCGTCCCTTACGATCTCACATCCTGCAGCGGGTGAAACCGGCTCGCATCATTTCGGCTGCGACCTGGTGCACCCTTCTGTCGGTGATCCTGTCCACTTAGGGTCACATCCCAACCTGTTAGGGTCATATCCCAACTTGTTAGGGTCACATCCCAATCTGTTAGGGCCATATCCAGACTTGTTAGGGTCACATCCCAATCTGTTAGGGTCACATCTCGACTTGTTAGGGTCACATCCCAACTTGTTAGGGTCGTATCACAACCTGTTAAGGTCACATCCCAACTAGTTAGGGTCGTATCCCAACTTGTTTGGGTCAAATCCCATCCAGTTAGGGTCATATCCCAACTTGTTAGGGTCACATCTCGACTTGTTAGGGTCGTATCCCAACTTGTTTGGGTCAAATCCCGTCCAGTTAGGGTCATATCCCAACTTGTTAGGGTCACATCTCGACTTATTAGGGTCACATCCCAACTTGTTAGGGTCATAACTTGAACTGTTAAGGTCTCATCCTGTCCAGTTAGGGTCAAATCCCAACCTGTTAGGGTCACATCCCTCTCTCTCTCTCTGCAGGTACCTGAAGATAGTCCGTCCCTTACGATCTCACATCCTGCAGCGGGTGAAACCGGCTCGCATCATTTCTGCGGCGACCTGGTGCACCACCTGTCGGTGATCCTGTCCACTTAGGGTCACATCCCAATCTGTTAGGGTCATATCCCAATCTGTTAGGGTCATATCCCAACTTGTTAGGGTCATATCCCAACCTGTTAGGGTCACATCCCAACCTGTTAGGGTCCTATCCCAATCTGTTAGGGTCAAACCCCGAACTGTTGGGGCCATAACCAGAGTTGTTAGGGTCTATCCCAACTTGTTTGGGTCAAATCCCGTCCAGTTAGGGTCGTATCCCAACTTGTTAGGGTCGTATCCCGACTTGTTAGGGTCATATCCTGACCTGTTAGGGTCAAATCCCAATTTGTAAGGGTCAAATCCTGACTTGTTAGGGTAACATCCCAATCTTTTAAGGTCATATCTCGACTTCTTAGGGTCACATCCCAACTTGTTAGGGTGGTATCCCGACTTGTTAGGGTCATATCCTGACCTGTTAGGGTCAAATCCCAATTTGTAAGGGTCAAATCCTGACTTGTTAGGGTAACATCCCAATCTTTTAAGGTCATATCTCGACTTGTTAGGGTCGTATCCCGACTTGTTAGGGTCACATCCCTCTCTCTTTCTCTGCAGGTACCTGAAGATAGTCCGTCCCTTACGATCTCACATCCTGCAGCGGGTGAAACCGGCTCGCATCATTTCGGCGTTGACCTGGTGCTCCCTTCTGTCGGTGACGGGCTCCTACGTGCTCCTGTCCCTGCTCACCCAGGACACCCCGGAGTCTCTGTCCACCATGGTTAGCTGCGACAGCCTGCACAGCCCGCAGCTGCGCCTACTCTACCGCGTCACCCACATCTGCTCCGCCGCCGTCTTCCTGGTGGTCCTGGTATCCCTGGTGGTCTTCTACCACAGCACCTCCCGCCGCCTGGCCCAGGCCCAGAGGAACCAGCCCTCCTCCTCCAGCTCCAGGAGCCTCTCCAAGTCCCGGAGGAACATGCTAGTGCTGGTTAGCGTCTTCACCGTCTGTTTCGTTCCGTACCACCTGGTCCGGGTCCCTTACGCCTTCCAGAAGAACTGGTGGTGCTGGAGCCGGTGGCTGTTCTACCTGAAGGAGGTGACCATCGTGCTGTCGGCCCTCAACGTCTGCCTGGACCCGCTCATATACTTCATCTTCTGCAAGGCCTTCCGGGCCCAGATGAGGATAAAGCGGTCCTTTAGCACCACCATGGCCCAGACGCAGAACGTGACCCTGGACAGGCGCAGCAGCGACTGCAGGCCGAACTCCATCAGGAGCCTCCGGAGGCCGTCCAGGCCCGCCGAGATCCTCTAACCCAGTGTTTTTCAGCCGTTTTTGAGCCAAGGTACGTTTTTTCATAGAAAAAAATCACGAGGCGCACCACCAACCAAAAATGTTAAACAAATCTGTATCCGCCTATAGCAACACTATAGTTATTCTTATTTTATTCTTATCTTATCTTAAGTGTCTTGAATAGGAATTAAATAAACAAAAAAATGTATTTTTTATCATATTTTATATTTCTTCTTTCAAATTGCACTTAACACGTCCACTTCAATATATAAAATTATATACAAAATCTAGTCATAAGGAATTATTACATGATTACTCCACCAGTCACTAGAACAGCACACACACTCAGAAATGGAACATTATTTGCAGATAATTAATTCCTTATCAAAAAGTATTTTTAGACCAATTAGGTGAAATAGGATGATTGATCGCGCTCCTCTTCCTCATTCAATACAGACGAGTGAAAGAAATAGCTACTATTCCCCTTTTTAAAGTAATTACCGTGTTCAAAGCGGCATTGTAAACTTATGATAGAATTTTTCCGTATGTTACTCTGGCTTTAAATGAATGGAAGAGACGTTTTGTTGGATTTATTTGTTGTTTAGTTTCTCGCTAACTTAGATGTGTAAGCTAGCAGCGGGATACCTCGTGGCCACGATGTGGAGTCTGAATGTTGACATTAGTGTTTAAGCTTGTTCCTGTTTCATATATATATATATAAATATATCTGTGTCTAGTTCATGTCATAACGACGAAAATGAATTAAGTCAAGTTAAAAATACATTTCATTATTTAAATGTCCCATGATAACTTAATTTCCATGTTGTGTTTATTCAGTTAAAACAATAATTTTGATAATTTAGAACATGATGTTTGTGGTCCTAAAGCTGGGTGTGCGTATGTATACATTTGCCTGTTGTTTGTATGCATTGTTTAAAATAAGATTGAATACAGACGAGTGAAGGAAAGAGCTGCGTGTGCGTTTTCCTCATCCTTCTCCCGTTACTATTCCCCTTTTTAAGGGTTAGGGGTGTTTTTCCTGAAGCAGAATCAGTTTCCAAAGCTTTTCCAGTGGAACGTCTATCAAACAAAACTACAAAACTTGGACCTGGCAAACTCTCTGTAATGTTATTTAGAGAATATTCCTGCTCTTTATTCAGACAAAATAAAGAATTCAAACTGTTTTTGGGTCCATCAGATGTGTCGGATGTCCAGAAGTGAGTCCTTTCTTTCCATTTATGGTTCCGGTTTAAATTTTATATGCTAGTCTGGGTTTTTTGGGGGTAAACAGGGACTCCTGGTCCACTTTTAAAGCAGCACAACACAAAAAGAACAAACATTAACTCCCAGTCTGAGGACAATCTCGGGACATCTGGATTTCATCCATTTTCTCCAAATCTGGGTGATTACATCATCACAGAAAAAGGGAGATTTTTCATCCTGAGTATTGTTTGAGTCATTCAGAATGAATAATCTTTTATTTCTCTCCCAGCTTTGTTTTTTTCTAAAAAGGGAAAAAGGTTCTTTCAGCTGAGCCAAAACATCTGGACTCAGTTTGCCTTCATGAACCAACGTGGACTTTTCAGAAAATAATGAAAAACATCTTAACCCACAAGAGCCCAGACCCGTTTATCCCTAAAGAAAAGTGACGGGGAACAGAAAACTGACCAAATGAGTCCATTTATCACAGTAAAAACAGAGAGATTTCAGGTACCAACACTAAATGTCACAGATCTGTGCTCTCTAAAAGCCGTTTTTAACGGGGTGTTTTAGATTAAAGGGTTCCAGCTTTGGGGGGGGTCAAATGGTCACAAACCTTCCATCAGAAATCCAGCTACAACTAATTTTAAATCAATTCAACTGGATCAAATGTATACATCTATTTTTTAAAAACAGCCAGTTTCAAAAGATAGAAACTAGAACCAGTTCGGTCTAGTTTCGGTTATTTTTTAAAATAGTTGTTCATTCCCACATTAAAACTAATTTATTCATGATATATTTATACATTTTAACAATAATATTAATATTTATCATTTATGTCCTATTTTTAAATTTTGAAAATTCACAAAATTTTGAAGAAAATGGAAAAAATAAAGCAAAAAACTGGTCTAAAAGCTTCTCATGTTACTGGACTTTATTTGGTCAGGATTCATCCTGGTTCCCTCTTTTAATTTCAATTAATATTATCATATAATTATCACTTTAATCCTTTTTTAAAATGCTAAAACCCAGAATAAAACAGGCCTGAGGTCCCCTGGAAGCTGTTCCTCCTCCCCACCACTAGATGGCAGACATGTTTTATCCTCCTCAACACAAACCAAAGAGGACTCAGCTGGAGGGTCTAAATAAAATAAAATAAATAAAGTACTGAACTGGAATGACTCTGACTGATTGTTTGTGTGTTTTTTTTGTGGTAAAATGCAAAAAAAATCTGATTGTTTGTGCCCACAAATTTTGAAAAGGATAAAAAGTCAAAGTGTTTTCTTTTGTTTCAAAGCATTTTAAAGTCCAGGCTTTTGAATAGAAGTAATTCACTAAGTAGTGGTTTGTTTTTCAGTACTTTGAGCTCATTTTATTGTCTTTTTGTGTCGGTTTTAGGGATCAGATGGATTCTGCTGTTCCTAAAGCTCCACTCACGCTTTTAAAAGTCAGTTTTTAAACCCCAAAGACGACAAAAGCAACTGTTTTGACCCTTTATGATCTGAATTTCTGACTCTGAGACGCATAAATCAACAGCAGCAGTTGGTAATTAAGCTAATCGCGCAAATTGCAGCTGAAAGCGACGCCAGAAAAACCAAAACTGAGATCTTATTTTAAAAAATGTGTCCGTTTCTGCCCTTAGACCAAACGGCTCCCAGCAAGATAATGAGATTAGCTCATTATAAAACTATTGGATTAGACTGGAAAGCCCAGAAACCTCAGATAGTTCACAGGAAAATCCCTCAGAACCAGAGCAGAGGGCTGGTTTTCTCAAGGAAAATAACTTTATTCTCATTATTTATCCCTGTTTCACCAAAGTCCAGATGTGCAGAACAAAGCTAAAGTCTGACAGCTAACTGAGACATAAAGTAAATGTCCACATGACCAAGTCTGTGACACAAATAAAAGAACAACTTTGTGATAATCTTAATTTATGGCACATAAAAAGGAAAGTTTTACTTAATTTCTGCAGCTGTTATTGATCACTGAGACATGATTTATCACAATTATAGACAAGAAAATAGTTCTTCAACATGAATTCTAAATAATAAAAAACTCAAATTAATTAAACGAATAACAAACACCACTGTATAAAATCTATCTATCTATGTTATACATGATTAGTCACATTTATAGACATTAAAATCAACGGGAACATCTCAATTTCAGAAAATATGAAGTTCCTCAACATGAATTCAAATTTAAATAATCAATAAATAATAAAAAATAATGAATTAATTACACATATGATTAATATATATATAATTAATTAAATATATATATATACATACAGTGGTGTAAATTATTTATTTAATGAATTTATTTATTTTTTCTTCGGAATTCATGTTGGAAAACTTTATAATTTCTGAAATAAATCATAGATAGATAGATAGATAGATAGATAGATAGATAGATAGATAGATAGATAGATAGATAGATAGATAGATAGATAGATAGATAGATAGATAGATAGATAGATAGATAGATAGATAGAATGCTACTATTATTGGATAAAACTCTGTTAGCTGATGCTAGATAAC